AGCTCAGCAAGTTGCTGCTCACGTCCAAGAACTTCAGCGACTTCATACGGCTGGTCATGAAGCTGACCTTGGGAAGGCTCTCCAATTTATTCCTCTGTAAAACAAGGAACTTCAGGTCTGTCAGAGTGCCACAGTTCTGGAACAATTCATCCGTCAGGGCGTTGTGAGAAAAATTTAAGTACTGGAAGGAGCTTGTTCTGTTGGGGCAGAGCATGTGGGGCATGGAGGCATCGAAGATGGTCAAGCTGGCAAGAGGCATCTCCGAAAACTGTCGGTACAGAACCTCCTGGTTGAAATAATAAACCTTGTTCCGAACGTGCTCCAAAGTCAGCGCCTTCATGGAGCCACTCAGAGAAATTCTTTCCTCCAGAGAACTTAATAAAGGTAGAAATTCATATCCGGGCAGCTCCTCCACGGGTCCCCAAAAAGTCAAATGTCTCACAGTCAGACGTTCCACAGGCGAATACCAAACCAGCAGGAAAATCTGCAAAATGACAGGCCATTGTAAGTCCACGGTGTCCAGCATCAGAGCTGTTGTCTTGATCTCCTTCAGAAGCGTTAAAGGAGGAGAGGGGAAATAGCCAGAGCTCAAGGTGTATCTTAAATTATCAATCCTTAAGGTTTCTGAAGTGCTCATTCCGTCGTACAGGAGGGGAAAACTGAAGTTTTGGTTTCCTGCAAAAACAAGGTGGAGGCTCCTCGTGTCCAGGGCCCTCAGGCTCTGAGGCTCGTAGAGGGAGAAGTCTTCCAAGGTCAGGAGGACCTTGCGGAGCCGCAAACCCGTGAGGTACCTGAAGTGGGAGCGTCGCAGCGTCGCGGCGCTCAGCCCCAGGAACTCCAAACGGGACATCTGCCCCAATTCCTGACAGAGGGGCAGGGCAGCCAACTTGGTGAAAGAGAGATCCAAGTGCCTGAGGGAGGCGAGAGTCAGGCAGTAAACTTTCAAAATGCTGTTATGAGACAAATCCAAGTGTTCTAAGTCTTGATTGAAAAAGAAGACGCCGAAGTCGAGCTCCGTAATTAGATTATGAGAAAGATTTAACACTCGGAGGTCAGAAAGAGAAATAAACTCCGAGGTACTAAGTCCAGAGATCCTATTATGGGATAGATCTAACACCTGAGTATGGACTGGAATGGTGTTTGGAACACTGGTGAGCAAACGGCTTGAATAATTTGCAATAAATTCATTTTCCACACTTGGCTGGATATTATTCCAGAGCAGGAACGTACAGACACAGGCAAAGACCTGGGTATTTGAGAAGGGTCCCATTGTGCTTCCAGCTTTATCTC